CGTCGTCGTCGTGTGTGTGGTGCTGCTGTGTCGGTGTCGTGTGGCGTGTGTGTCGGGGTGTGTGTGTATGTGCTGTGTGTGGGTCGGTGTGTGTTGTGTGTGTGGTGTGTGTGTGTGGTGTTGTATCGTAGTCCTGTCGTGTGTGTGGGTGTGTTGTGCTGTGTGGTGTGTGCGTGTGTGTGGATCTACGTGTGTGTGCCGGTGCTCCGTGCCGCGCGTGCGTGTTGCCTGGCTGTCGGTCTATGCTGTGCGCGCTTGTGTGTGCTGCTGAGGTGTGTGTGTGTGTGTGTGTGTGTGTGTGTGCGTGCGTGCGTGCGTGTGTGTGTGTGTCTATGTGTGCGTGCGCGCGTGTGTGTGTCTGAGTGTGTGTGTGTGTCTATGTGTGTGTGTGTGTGTGTGTGTGTGTGTGTGTGTGTGTGTCTATGTGTGCGTGTGTGTGCGCGCGCGCGCGTGTGCGTGTAAGCTTTGCTAATGCAGCCCATTTTTTTCAGGTAGGAATGACTCCTTCGCCAGTACGCTGTCCACGGCAATCAGTAGAGCTATGTCAATACCAGCCTGGTGGCAGACTTCTCAAGCACCACCACGTGCTGTCGCACTGGAGCGCCAGCGGCAACAACTGACGTCATCAAAACCTGACATCGAGGAGGCGATCACGATCATCGCCGACCGTGCTGACGTCAACGTCAACGAGGAGACGGCATTGTAGGTGGCGTGGCAGTGCGTCGTCGCTCTGATGTTCGCCTGTCAGTGTTAACTGACGTGGCGGCTCTGTCCCGCCAGCAACGTCAGGTGGAGTGACCGTTCAGTTTCTAACAGGTCTGTCCCACTCGTGACACCAGGTGGCGTGACAGTTCAGTACTTGACAGATCTGTCCTATCCGTGGCACCAGGTGGCGTGACAGTTCTGTACCTAACGCCTCTGTCGCGCTCGCAACACCAGGTGGCGCGTCGATTGAGTGTCTGTTGCTTCTAACCCACCAATGATACCAGGTGGCGTGACAGTTCAGGGTGATAGTGCTGCCCCACGCTTGCTACCTTCGCGGCATAGCGGTGACCAAGAATAAACTCGGTCGAAGAAATTCGGCTGTCTTCATGACAACTCGGAGTGTGGCCGCACCGCCACACCGCGGTCACACCAGGTGGCGTCGCAGGTCTCAGCTCTACCCTACCATGACGTCACATCCCGCGGAAGCTCGACCGACCTCGAGATCGTGAATTCTAAGAGTTGTTCCAGCTGTCGATACCAGGTGGCGTTGCAGCCTATCATCTCGGAATCGGGTACCGGGGAGAAATACAAATTTTTCCGGAAATAGCCGAACGGTAGTAGAGCGCAACTTCGGGATCGCTCGGGTCCATAATACACACGTGTACACATGTATACGCATTGTGAACCCTAACCCTAACCTTAACCCTAATCCTAACCTAACCCTAACCCTAACCCTAACCCTAAACAGAAAAATAAAAAAATAAAAATAATAAAACACACACATGACATATGCTAAATAAGCAAATACCCTGGTATGTAAAATGTGTATTTCTCCCTGGTGCAAAAATCATCATCTCGCATTTGCATCGGACGGCGGGTTAGGCACGGTTGTGTTCGTTCATAGTTCGGGATCCGATAACTACGTTGTGCTCCTGTGCATCTACGTTACCTACGTTACTGCGTACTACGTTATCTACGTTACCTCTATTGCTCCGCGTGCACTGCGTGCAGAACAGCATCGCGGAGGCAATAAGCAAGATTCGCTCTACAAATGCAACTTACGGGAGACTTCCAGGTTCACTTTCAGCGCAGGCGATTCTTCTTTCGAGGAGACATACTCAAACACTGCAATATGAATATGAATAATAACGTGTGACTTTCTTTTGGATCATCCGTCAACGAGATAACGAGAGTGAGTCAATCAATGACGCATATGTAAATAAACGGAGAACGCCCTTCTGAAACTGATAACGATTAGCTATTTGCGGGGAACGAGGAAAGGTTAATGTGCCGAGTTTTGCATGATATTGATGACGAAGCAATACACGAGCGGGAGTTTGATTGTATCAAGACTCAAGAGTCCATAATAGATGTCCATAATAGAAGTCCATAATAGAAGAATTTATATTATGGACTCCTGATTGTGTATGTTTCGACGGATAAGAACACCGACAGGTGATCGGAGGAAAGCGAAAAAGGCTAAGCAACCATAACACGTCGCTTCAAACATTACGACGTATTTCAGACGTATGACTATTCGGGACTACTGACGACGTCCCTGGGAAAGGTTTCCTGGATAGCAGGAACGCATCACGAATTCCCGCTCTGTCGATCATGCCGCTAACTGGCCCCACGTCAAGATGTCCGACAACTCGCTGTCAGAAACCCCCTGAATCGTCACGACCAGCATGAGTCTCAAGTGCCACGCACTTGGAGTGCCTCAATGTGCCGTGGCTAAGGGTTATAAATGTGTTAGGCTTAGGGTTAGGGTTAGGGTTATACGTATACTCTCTAATAGTTATTACCTTCAGTGATCGGAGTGATGACCTTTCTCCAGCTCTCGTAGCGGTCAATGACCGTGCTTTCACCATCGCTCTCTGTTCTGTAATACGTGAGAGACTAGATTAGAAGAGAGAGAGAGAGAGAGAGAGCGAGAGAGAGAGAGAGAGAGAGACGAGAGAGAGATTAGAGGGGGAGGAGGAGGAGAGGAGAGAGCGAGTAAACAAGAGAGAGAGAAGCGAAAAGATAGAGAGAGAGAGAGAGAGAGAGAGAGAGAAAGCGAGCGCGCGAGAGAGAATCATTCAAGTTTGCGTGCAAGAGCTTCAGTCAGCTATGAGCGGTCATAACAAGCTGAGCCAAGTAAATTATATCAGGCGATCTGAGTAGTGAGCATTACGCTTAAATTCCAGAAAAGACCGTATACATAATTCACGTGGCGTGCGAGAGGAATGATTATTATATGGCAGTCAGGGATTGCTTTCAGCGGCACGGAATTTCAAATCGATTTCAGCACGCCGTGAACGTATAAGCGCGAGCTCTGTGACTATAGAACGACTGTGACTCTATCACGCACGAGTACGTTTCGGGTTGGTTTTCATGGATGCTATTTCAGCCGCGTGCATGCTAACGCGACTAGCTTATACTTCGACACGCTCCT